TGAAGTATTGTTAGCTGTAGCCATAGAGTTAATGTAATGGTCCTCAACTGAGACAGTGAGTTATTGTCTCGGTCCAGGACTGAGACAGTGAGTTATTGTCTCAGTCCAGAACTCAGTTGTCTCAGTCCAGAACTGAGACAGTCAGTTATTGTCTCGGTCCAGAACTGAGACAGCCGATCATTGTCTCAGTCCAGAACTGAGACATGTCAGTTGGGGACCTGTCTCGGTCCAGAACTGAGACAGTTGGTCATTGTCTCAGTCCAGAACTGAGACGGGTCCCCAACTGAGGTACAACATATATAATATAAAAGCTAATTACAGAGTTGATGTCAAAATTTGATCCAGAAATTGTGCCTAAATATGATGATAAATATTATATGGTTGCTGGTAAACTCTTTTATCATTGTTACTCTCAATATGAATTCTGCTCTGCATGTGGAATACTCCGATGTAGTCCCGTGTGGTGCCTTTATGGACATAAACAATTATCCGATGAATGGACTAGCAACAATAAGCAACTCGATGAGTTTATTAAAAAATCCCAATTACAAAAAAGCTCAGCTTGCATGGTCTACCTACTTAGACAACTGTTAAATTGATTTCACTTGAGATAACAAACGAGACACATGATATATATTATGCCGACGTCATGTTTATTGAATAGTTTATCCGAGTATATTTCTCCATGCAATCACTCAGGTGCTTTATAATACAATTATGCTTACCAAAAATTAAATCATGCAATTGCGTCAAAGTAGCGAAACGCAAATTAAATCTTAACAAAGGGAAACTTTATGTTCAATCGCTTTTCTTTACGTTTCCTCTATTTCTTGCTCATAATGTGTTGATGTCAATGTTCGCTTATTAAATTTTATTTTTTATTCTCATTGGTAAAGTTTATAAGTAATTTTTTATTCCCATACTTATTGTGCCGTGATTTCTTGGTTCCATAATGGATTTGACGTATATTAGTTGCATATTGACGTTTTTTATATACACATAATATATATTGAACATGTTATAACTTTAAGTAAAATCATCATCAGCTTCTTCAAAAAGTCGTAATTGTGTTGTTTTTGGACAGATATTCGTTAACATAGTCACAAAAGTATTATCATAATCATTGTTAAGGAGAATATTGTCTGGCCAGCCGAACATCTCAGATGTTTAAGCCGAAATTTTATGACAAACATTATAAACAGCTTTTGGCATAGACAAAACTTACGTTTTCATACAAATCGCTTCGTTTATGTTCAGAAAAACATTTTCTATAAGAGGATTAACAATTTGTCTCTGTATGTAAGTCACCATCATGAAGCAGATTAACTGCGAGGCTAAAGCACAATGAACTACAAAAGTTAATTTCATCATAGATATCTCCCCCAATAAATCCGTCCTACGTGCTTTATTCTCTTCTTATGCATGTATGTAGATAGATAAAAACAGCTTAAACTCGTTGTGAATATCGCGATAGTAGGCATATTTGTATAACATTATGTTAAATTTTTAACGTTACTATTACTATGCTTTTCCATACATACATACCAAACTCATGTAATTCTTCATTGCATCTCTAAGCTATTCAACTGAAGCAAAGCAAAGCAGAAGCAAAAGTCTAAGCTTTTGCATACCGATCAAACGTTCGATTACGATGGGCTTCTTCCAACGCTGCATATTATTTATCGCATTGCATTATCATTCGCAATCAGAAATAACAGATTAAAATTTTTTAAACAACCATTATAATTGATGTGGCGATTAATAAAAAGTGGGCTAGCATTTAGCAATTGTATATCTGATATGTAATATTATTAAATACATATATTAATGCTGTAACCTACAAGATAATACACTATTGCAACAAATCTCACAAGGTAGTTGTAATATTGAACCATAACAAAATACGTCCAACTTTAAAAAAACAGGTAATTTATTGGCTTATTGTAAGGTAAGTTAGTCACAAGCTAATGCAAGTTAGAAAATAAGACATTGCATTCATTACACTATGACACATGATTGTAGCAACCTAGTAACAGTGTTCATCAACCCCTCAAGCTTGGTCCATACTTGACATAACCTTTATTCAGGATAGTTATAACCTTGAACCATAATCAAGGATTTCTGCTAAGGCCTTTCCAAAGTGTTAAGTCAAACCAACAACGTATGTCATTCGCCCAGCAACTGAAGTAGTATGAATGCTTTTAACAAAAAAGAAAACCAACACAAACGTGCGACTGGTTTTGTCTATAGCGTTTCTTCAATTAGGGTGTCTCTTCCCGTTTTTTTTGTAAAACGACTATTGTAAATTTTTTCGTGGGTCAGCTAAACTTGAGAAAAAAATTTTTGAATTGCGGAAAAGTGTAGTATTTGGAACGCTGGCTGCGGCACAAGCAAAGTAACTATGACTGCGGTAGAAGTTAAGGAATGTGTGCTGGTTATAATTGATGATGCATATCGGTCCACCTGGAACTATCATCAAACTATAATCTCACATAAGTCAAGCCTTGCTTAGAATGCATTGGCTTTAAAAACAGCTAATCAATAATAATCCAGTTGGGAATTACTTCAAAATTTAAGCATGGTTTTTTTTGTTTGTCGCAACAAATACGGAAAAACTCTATCCATTTCATTGAACCGTTTGTCGGCACACCTTCATTTTCTCTCCCCAACCGAAGCGATTGTTTTTAACATTTGAGCACGCCCGAATATGTTTGCAAGTTCCAATATGCGCTTCCCAGATTTCCCGTTTTCCGAACTGTATCAAGATTTCTATTTCTCTGTTCGGCAAACTGTCTCCAAAAAGCAGCCATATTTTTCTTATGGGTATGGGTATTTACATAATTATATGCATCTCCCAATAACAACCAAGCTTTATTTCTCACAAAGTACTCTCTACTATGCTTTGATTTCTTGCCGATAGTCTCGAGGGATGTGCTCAGCGCAGTAAACGCGGCATCCGCATCAGTGAATTCGTTCTCGAGCTTTAATAATTTCTGCGGCGGATTAGCGTAGCGCTTGATACAATTCTTATTGGTACGATCTAGTAATTCATTACAAGAAAGACATTGGCCCGGTATACAGCATGGGAAGACAATAGTATATGTACAGTACGAAGGGGGGGGGGGGGAGGGAGTAGAGGAAGAAGAAGAAAGCTACCTGTATTCATATGAATGGCTATCAGGTTACACTAACCCAAAGAACATTATTTATATGACATTGGTATCTACCTTCGTCTTATCGTAGCACGATACAGCTTAGCCTAGTGCAGTATAATATTTTATATTTGGATACTTTGTGCGTATTAAACAATACATTCTCGTTCAAACAATGACCATTACAAATTGTGGATATGTGCCTCTTTTGTAATGTCGCGTTGTTCCAACATTGCTGGTCAGGTAAGCCATTTTAAGAAAGCAACATTAATATGAGAAATCAAGCTAAAAAAAGTCTTGACTTATATTGGTGGCTTATAAATCCCCAAATTACGGATTAAAATACAATTCGAATCGTCATCACAACATACAATAAAAAGAGGTGGCTATATTGTTTTTCTTCCCTAATTCAGAACTACCGCCGCAGCATTAATGAAAGTATTGGATAGGTTATTCATACATGAATGATCATATTATTTAATATATGCATGATTGGTTCTGTAAATTTGTGTATGTGTTTGACCAGAAACAGGCGGCACAGCTTGACTCTTTATTATTTCAATGTTTGGTACAGACAATGCTTACGCGACTGTTTCCGATCTCAGGTTTTGCCGAATAAAGACCGTAAAGACTGAATGTTTGGTGACACACAATGAGTGAGCCTTGGCACACGCTAAATGACATATTAATATATTATTATAAATCAGGGGTCATGTCAAACGCTTGTACACTACTTCTTTATAGTTCACCCAAAATGGCATGCCAAGTCCTTGCTAAAAAGCGCTTGCTGCTAGATCAGTACGCCTAGTCCCGTTCCTTTCTCAATATTCACGCTTACAACATGCGCCTGGCGCTCAGTACTTTCTCCCATTCGTTCCGCCTCTCAGCTCTTTATCTGTTCGTTCTCTTGTTGCTTTCTATTTCTTCTCTCACCTCCGCTGACGGAAATTGCGATACATGCGGACAGACGGTCACTCTAGTTGCGCCCTGCCTTAGTAGCCAGGGTAACTCGCAATTTCAAACCAGCGAGCAGACCGCAACCACTTCGTTTGTAGACCCAACACTAGCCAATTGTCAGTGCACGAATTCGTATTTGGCTGCGTATCAGAGGTGAGAATATGTGGAGAGTGTGGAGGAATCGTTAGAAGAGGGATGCATATTACGGACAATTGCCGAGCATCTTGGATACTAGACTCACATACGTAAACCCTCCGATTGCTTTGGGTTCTATTTCTAATCATTTCTTGTTTCTTGATAGTTGCCTGAACTGTTTCAGTTCCAAAGGACTATCAACATCAGGCCTGACACAAACGGGCGGTGGGTATAATAGTTTTCTCATTTGCCAGGTTGAATTTTTTTTTCATACACATTATCTGATTCTATTCTATTCTATTATTCTCTTTCCACACCTTTCGTTGCCTCCTTCTAATCGATCTTACAGACATAAACAATGATTGCCGAAAACTAGGAACCACAGGACTGACATTACCACCGGGCAGTTCCACGAGCGGCTCTGCGAGCGGTTCGACTAGTATGCGATTGAATGGCCCATCAATGAATTATGCAATACTTGTGCCCAAAGTTTTATCAATGGCCGGTAGTTTCGTAGTTGTTGGTATTTTGTCGCAAATGATATCATAGAAACAATGGTAGAGATGGTGTGAGCGTATTTAACTATATGTATGGGTAAATTACCAGGGGGGTTATTTCTTAGATTTTAATACATTAATTTATCGTTATTGGCTTATTTACGTATTGAAGCTCCGACTGTTCATACTCAACGCTGTGGCGTTGTAATTCAGATCTACCAGTAAATTCAAATTCACCGTTTGCTTTTTCATTTCGTGTTACATAATGTTCTCACCTTGGCTGAATATTAATTTTGTAATTAGAAACTTGTTGAAAAGTTTACTTATCGCACTGGCTGTTGCTAAACTTTTTATCTAAAGAACCCTCCGACTACAAGTATCAAAGATGACGTTGCAGGACCTGCACAAGACAATAGCATGTACGTTCGCCTGTTTAATGTGCGTTGTTGATGTCGTCGTCGTCGTCGTCGTCGATGAGTATGGAGGAGGAGATGCTATGAAAGGCGTGTGTAATGGTGTTATCGTAATGAACGAACGACTAGACATAATCTTGACCTGGAAAGTGTGTGCCATAGCCTATGAGACCCACCATTAAGCCATGCATCACCATGAATATAAAAAGACTAGGTGGATTTGGTAATGGAACAGAAGAAAGTTATGTAGTAGTTGGATTCGATCACTTCTCCTTTTCTTCTGGACTCCACTCTCTCATCTTCATTTCTAATAGTTTATCTGTTCTTGTTTTTCTTTGTACCGTATGCAAGTATCTTGGTTGACCACGAGAGGGTCAAGCTGCAATGGCTTTTGTATATGTCCAGTTAATAGTCTGTTCCGGGCTGCATCAATTGCAATAAAATCGGCCTTCTCCTTCTCATACATTATCAAATTGTGTGAAAACGTTGATTCCCATCTCACCAACATAAACACTGATTTGACGATAAGCCTAGGATTGGGATTTGTCAGGGCTAAAAAGAGAAGAGAGTGAGTAGGCGGTTGTAGTTTTCTGTATTGAAAACGCGAATAGAATCTTTTGAGAGATGTCAAACTAGAAGGACTTTTATATGAATTTAAAATGTCATTATTAACAATGAATAATACACGATTTTAAAACAGTAGAGTATGCGCTATTGTGATCCTTCACAACGAAGCATCAACTCTAGATATTATCACAACGCATTGGATCTAATGATAAAACTGTTTTGCTGTCTGACTGTCCTAATTAGGTGGAAACAAAAATGAGGTGATTTTTAAAATTAGACATTTGAATGTGCACTCGTCTATTACTCGATTTTCTGGCGTGGCATGATACATCTGTATGACATACAACCTTTATATAGAAACAAGAGAGAAGATTAGGGATAATTCGAGGTATACAAATTAGGTTTGGTTCAAAGTCGTGTATTATGTCATGTCTTCCTATAATAAGAACCTTCACGTCATTTTGCAGCTAGGTAAATTTTCGGGCTCAACATATAAAACGACTGGCTGACTGCAAAGTTACTGATTCATATCTGCCCGTAAATAATCATGAGTTTCCATCCTATGCGCAACACATCCATACATCAGGCTGTTTATCTGGGCCTCGAGATGGATTATAACCACGACACTGATAGGTGTGAATATGCGCTATGTGTTCATGATGGTACATATGCTATCGACTATGAAGTAGATTCAATTGATCTCCATCGCACCCAGAGTATGGCAGTCAAAACAGAGATAGTTCTGTCTGTTGTCCTTGACCGTATTACAAGGTATCTTCGATCGAATGGATACAAACTCTCTTCAATTGGACTCAGTTCGGAAGTAAATGGAACGAATGGTAAGCCTGGGCCCGTACTTATCGATCCCAAAGAAATCGCCAGCTCGTTTTGGTTCGATCTCGACGCTTTGCCGTTTATTATTGGTACGAGGGGATCGACAGTCGATGAGCGGGCTAGCTCGGCAGCGAGAAAGTCTGTTATATGGTATGAAGGTTTTTGATTGGCTCGTAACGCAATTTGAAATGAATAATCGAATAACGCCCATTGAACGGCCAGGTTATCACCACAAATACCCGGATCAATCCCAAGAATATCAGTCGGATTTCGACATGAAGTCGAGGTTGATCTTAATGGTATGATAAAATTGTGTGACCTAATTGATTACCGAAAAACTGTCAAAGCGGAAACTTGGGAAGTGATATCATGTATTGCTCACGAGCTGAGAACGAAGAAGGTTAAGGCGTCATTTTTCAGTGCGACTCCACAGGGAGGAGGAGGTAATTATGGGCGTGATATTGTCTTATTGGCGAACAGCCCGGAATGACATTATGTTATATAAAATAGAGCGATCTGTACTTAATTAGATATCTGACTACGTGTAATTGATTAAACAGTTGCGTTGATGCGCCATGCTCTTATACGTCTTTGTCGTCTCTTGGGACTTGATATTTCTTGGTACGTGGCCAAGCCCTCACCCGAAATATTCGACATTACGAAACGAAAGTTTCACAATGTACTCCAAGGAGTCGCAACTGAAAGCACTGTACTACTTTCTCACGAGAAGGAGGCGTTTATAGAGTGGTCAGACACCAATGTCAAACGTTACTGGAGTGATAAAGAAGGACCCATAAGAACATCGGATGTGATTATAATAGACGATCCACAATGTAAGCATTTTGAAGTATGTAATTATAGCGATCACAATTGGCTTGTACTAGTACATAACCTCTCTATCTCATAGTGTGCGGTATTATCCCGCATATCAAGAAACTCAATCCGTCTTGCAAAGTTATTTATCGCAGTCACATTGAGAGTAAGTTTTACCGATTACTTTCTATTACATGTTAGAAGAATATTAAACTTACTCGGGTTACCTAATTGACAGTCCGATCAGATTTAATAAAGGAAAACCCAGAAGGACCTCAAGCAATAACGTGGAACTTCATTTGGCAGTTCATTTCTCTAGCTGATCTGTTTGTATCGCACCCAATTAAGGGCTTTATACCTGATTGCATACCGCCCCACAAATATGTTCTTTTGGGAGCTTCGACCGATGCCCTCGATGGTCTCAACAAAGAAATGAGCGATGCAGATATAGAGTACTATCAGTTGATATTCAACAGATTGTCTAATGATCAATGTGAGATAAAGATCGATTTCACTCGTCCGTATATAATTCAAATAGCGAGATTCGATCCCAGTAAAGGTACGTAAGAGTAACTAGTGTATTTTGACACAATAATCGAATATGAACATAATCTTATGTTGCATGTGTATGCAGGAATTCCTCACGTCATAGAGTCGTTTAGATTATTACGTGAAAAGTTAGCCGGCACAGATTTACGCCTTCCATCGCTAATTATATGGTAAGTTTGTTGTAACAGTGACTATACGCTCAATGTTCAGATAAATACTTACGTTTTTATCTATCAAACAGTGGAACCGGAAGTATTGACGATCCAGATGGCACGGTTGTGTATAAAGAAACGTGGGATTTGATTAGACAACCCAAATATGCTTCGGTTGCTGGAGACATATCCGCGGTACGCCTGCCTGCTTGTGATCAGCTATTCAACACCCTTTTAAGAAAAGCACACGTAGCACTACAATTAAGTACCAGAGAGGGCTTTGAGATAAAGGTTACCGAGGCTCTCCATAAAGGTATGTCGACAAGAGAATTGGGTTATAAAAAGGTTTGTTATATAATAGCTTGTTTCTAACTCTTTTCTGTCCAGGTGTACCGGTCGTTGCATTCAGAGCTGGAGGTGAGCTATAAAAGCAGTTACGATCTTTGGTTATATGTTATTACGTTATTTACATGGTTTAATACATTTAATCATTCGAAAAAGGTATTCCGCTCCAAATTCGTGATGGAGAAAATGGATTTTTGGTAGACGTGGCTGACGAAACGACGGTGGCAGATCGTTTATTCGATCTCCTCACTAACGCGGATTTATACGAACGCATGTCAACTACTGCCAAGAGAACAGTATCTGAAGAATTCTTCAACGTTTATCAGACGCTGAACTGGCTCTATATGATTAACCATTTTGCTGACCTACGTCGTGAAAAGGATTCCCATATTGATAGCAAGAAAGTAAACTCGGACGTCGGACATGGCAGATGGATTAAAGAATTTTGGCAGGAAGAATATGCAAAAGGCCGTTTCCACTTTCCTACTGACGCGAATGGAAACGTTATTACGTATGATGAGGAGATAGAGGTAGGTGTATATTACAACTTCATATGAGAGATGAGTTTCCATGTAAATGGAACTGAAGCGAACTTTCATGTATTGCAGGCGACTGATGGGATTCCATCAACACCTGTTACTTCTGCTCCTACGTCGCCCTCCGATCGACTATAATGTGGTATGACACGCAGTTTCCGTAGGGGATGAAGAAATTATATTCATTATTATATCTGTTTATTATTTGTATAACTCTATTTTCATGGTATTCTGTAATTTATACAAAAAAGACCGAATGTGGGGCCTGCTCGTAATAGAAATAATTGCAACTTGCCTATAGGTCCCTGTTTAAATTAATTTAACATCATAGACTTTACCAATGGCTGAAGAATAGAATATTTCATTCAATTCATTGCACAGTAATCTTGCTTTTTGTTTCTTTTCTGTACAAAGTCTTGTCTGAGGACGGAAACCTACCCAATCTTTAATTAAGTTAGGAGATCTTGGAAGCTCAGCAAAAATAAAAGTCTGAATTTACTTCTACTGGGGGGTTAGCAACAAGTCAATCGCCTTCCAAACACGGTATTATACAAAACTAATTTTTTTAAAGAAAATGCTGAGCGAAAACTTATTAGTTTATTGATTATCGCCAAAGTCTTCGTCATCCTCATCATAGTCACTACCGTCAGGCCCAAAAATATCGGCGTAATCTTCAAGGTCTTCAACACGGTAAAGTAACTCGGTTGGACGCGAGGCTAATTGAAAAGTGGGTGAGCTCTCAGTTTCACAACAAAGCCATCTTGGCATAAATATAATACGATACCTGTAGCATCTTGCGACTGTTGTTGATTTTGAAGGTTTCGCATCAATTCGGCAATCTGCAAAAAAAAAAAAAAAAAAATCATGCATGAACAATTGAAGTTGACCCCAAACCAAACATCGGATAATTAACGGCAATTGCTACAATATAACAGCTGATTTATTATATGACGTATTATGGACTAATTTACTTACCCTGTTCGAAATAGGATCTGCTGACGTCGTCTCACCTGTTGCAGATGCGTTGTCGTCTTCGCCCCCGCTTTCATCTGGGAGTTCTTCATTATCCGATGCGTACCTCTCTAATATGTCCTTAAAACTCTCCTCGGACAAGATCTCATTCTCATCTAAAGCCTCGAATTTTCGGCGTAATATTTTCCTCATTTTCTTCATAGCATTACTTGTATAAAATCCGTTTAGCTCCTGTAAGACAAACATTTGTCATGACCAGATGGCACTATAGGTGCGGATCATAAAAAGATAGCTTACGTCACAAACTTCAACAAAATTTTCAGGAGAGCTGATCAAACGCTGAAGCAGAGGATCAGTAACATCACACAGTTGGAACACTGCTACGTCTCGTGTCTTCGTCAACCCTGAGAATATATGCGAATTACGATCTGTCGACCTGTAATGAGGTTCAGAAACCTTAGCTAAGAGATCAATGATTTACAACTAATTTATAGCTGAAAATTACGTGTCTTCCCCGCCGGTCTCCATTTCATACGTTACAGTGTCCGGTTGACTAGATTCTGAAAGAGCCGATGGCTGCCCATTTAGCATTCGTTTTGCTCGTTCTAGTCTTAAACCCCGTCTTGTATTTCGGACGTCAAGAAGTTGATATCTTGATATATTAAAGGCATTATCTTAAAATTCTGCACCAAATGCAATATCAGACATGAAGGCAAAAAATTTTTTACATTCGAGATGTTTGATCATTTCGCGGGTCGTACCCGTAACAAATCCAACAATCTCGCCACGGACCGCCAACCATCCAATAGGCAACCAAGGGTAAAAGCCTGTTCAAAAATTACAGTTCTATGAGCGAATTAGCGGCAAAACCTGGATTTTGAATGGGAAGGCAAAGTAATAACAATATACATACTTCCTAATGAGTTTCTTGTACGATCTGGGAAGCGTGTTAAGTAACGCTAGTCTTGTCCATACTGGACGTTCCTCAAACATCTAACGACATTAAATTTTATCAGAACACTGAATGCACAAGTAATATGATACAACATATACCTTCTTCAACTTCTCTATAGGCTCTTTGGGCAGTAATTCCACATAATTTAAAGCCTCAGGAGGGGGACCTTCCGGGATAAGTGTGCATGTTAAGATAATATACGTAAGCGCCATAAAAGCATTAGAGAATTGGATGTATACAAGGATATTTTCTGATTCAAATGATACTGTCAAGGCAACGAATTTCCTTCTCCAATGTCGATTTATAAGTCTGACGGACGGCACCTTTCAGTACAAATTCATTAGTACAAACTGCGAGCTGTCATAATACAACACAATACATTGCTTACGTTCGTCTCGTTAGGACGTATCATGACTTTAATGACCGAGACATTCTGTTGGTATCTTCAACACAAGAGAAATTTTAATGTTGATTAACACGACATATTGACAATGGCTCGCTGTTGGACTTACTTATATTCCATCGGAATTTCGATTCTTGCCAGTGATGGTGGTGGTAAGAGTATTGGCTTTGTATGATCCTCGGATTGTTGAAAGGTAAACTTGCGCATACCTTCCACTTTTAACAGAGTTGACTCAGCCATAACAATTCACACGTAATAATGTGAGTACAGCAATCTCACCGTCGAATTTCCCAAGCTGTCTCCGTAAGTTTGGTATCGAATCGTACGGGTTAGGAACGTATTGAGCATCGGACATTCCTACATAAATATTCAAAAATTACAATTATATGCTCTTAGTAATGTACGCGTTCTTTGCTTGTTTGCACTGTCACGTCAATTTGCTTGTTCATTTTTTCGAAAAGGGTAAAATGTGGTTTCCTGCATAATGCATGTCTACTGCTTGCGGTCACTGCAATCTCCACAATCTCTAGCTAGGATTCTTAATGATAAGTGCTCTTTGCCAATGAACATTATCAATGCATATAAATCAATAAAAAAATCTAGGCCAATTACCTCATCACGACCCTCTTACCTCTAAATCGACACGTCTTATTTATAATTCCAACAATTTCAAAACTAAAATTCTGGTTTGGGTTCTTTGTTTTGCTAGTAGCGTTTCCCCCCTGATTTCCGGAAGATTTTTTTCGCCGTCTCGTCACTTTGAGCAAGAAATTGGCAGTAGGAACGACATCCCCGTTAATAGGATGACAAAATGGGTCGTTATGCCTATACCGTAATTCCGCTAGACCTTTGTTGACTGCCTTGAAAATGTAGAAATTACAACCGTCATTTAGGACGAGTATGTTAAGGCGGTGAAATTCGAAATTTATACTCTCATTTCAAGAAGAGTTAGCCTTAACGCCTCTATTGGTAAAGTAAACCTCAGACATGACTCTCTTTATATACTCTCACTCACCGGTTGACTTTCATACCTTCAAAAGTCCTCTTTTTTCTCCGAGTGTACTAATGACCTTGTGTACATTCTTGATATAACCCGGATACTCTACAGCAAAAAGCCGCTGCCTTGGTAGTGGGTAAATGGGTGGTCTTTCATACAGATCAACGCTCTCCTCCAACTGGTCGCCCTCTGAGACAAGGTTTTCTGCCATAATGATTCTGATGTTTCGCTGTAATTGTTACATTCTTTGATCTAATCCTGATCTAAGCCACTGAGAATCACATGTACGATTGACGAGAATCAGATCGACCTGACGTAGTATCTAAGCCACCCGTATGACTAACGCCGTATAAACAATTTCTCTTGTACTCTTTCCTTTCTGTTTTTCTCGACATTGCTTTCTCTTGTACTTATAATCTTAAATGTCAGCTGTAAGGCCTCTCAACGTAAAGGATGCTCTCTCATATCTTGACCAGGTCAAGCTTCAGTTTTCGGAACAGCCGGAAGTTTATAACCAGTTCTTGGACATTATGAAAGACTTTAAAAGTCAAGCCATAGACACTCCCGGTGTTATAGACAGAGTTTCAAATTTATTCAAAGGGCACCCGTCACTTATACAGGGATTCAATACATTTTTGCCACCGGGCTATCGTATTGATACAAATCCCCACGAGCCAAATACTATACGTGTTACTACTCCTTCAGGCACCACAAGCACGTCTACAGGAGCTCCCGTAGACGTTCATCCATCTCAGACGGCCCAAATGAGTGCGGTTCCTAACCCGACGAACTCGGGGTACTATCCACCTAATTACCCTACCTCTTTGATGACACCGACTATCCAGCCACCACCTCCGAATGCAACCATTCAACAACAAATGGCTACACCATACCATATATCAAATACACAACAAACCGCCAGTCACAATGTAAACAATAATTCGCAGAATCATCAACAGGGAAAAAGAGCTCCTGTTGAATTCAATCATGCAATTAACTATGTGAATAAGATAAAGGTGGGTGTTCAGAATGTTGAAGGTGGTAGAATAAAGAATTATTTGATAAAAAATGTTGTGATTTCATCAGTCCTGTATAGTCTTCCGGCCACATAGCGACCAAATATTCTCTATAAATGGCTGTTAGAAGTGACTCGTAATTGAAAGAAAGAACAACAATAAGTCGAGTAGTAAACTCGAGACTGTTATGTTTCATTTCTTTATGTTGAATGAACTGTGTCGTAGAGCCTGATATCGACCAATAACTTTTGGTATTAGAACCGTTTTTCAACTGAACCAGATACCTATAAGCAATTTCTTGAAATTTTACAGACATACCAGAAAGAACAGAAACCAATCCTAGACGTAAGTGTCAGATTTTAGTTTATTTAATGACGGGTGATCCCAATTACTTGCCTGAAATTAAATTGTTTATTGACAGGTTTATGCACAAGTACAAGTGTTGTTCAAGAATGCGCCGGATCTGCTTGATGAATTCAAACAATTTCTTCCTGATACGTCTGGTAATACACCGTCTGGTGGCTTATTTGGACCTCCGGCTCAATCTCATCCATCTGCACAAAAGTCGTCGCATCTTATGCCCGTGGTTGCTCCATTACCAAATGGGATTCCAAATAGTAAGTATTGTTCTAATAGGTCGTCGGGCATAATCAAGAAATAAATTCAATAATACAAGGCTCTCCCACAAGCAGGAATAGGGGCGCGGCTACCATCGGTTGGTAACTTTGGTTCATCTACGTCTAGTAGTGCCACTGAATCGTTCAAGAAACCTACGGGACAGAACGGAGGTGCATCGACTCCAAGTGTTATTTCTGGAGCACTGAGCCCTATCGGAAATTCCAGCATGGGAAAGAAGAAACGAGGTGTCAATGTTTCTGACCGAAGTCCGTCCGCATCAGCATCTAAGGTTATTACCGACGTGTTAGATATAGTAGCTTTTATTCGCAATTTACTAAAATTGTCTTTTATAGCTAAAGAAATCAAAGACAGTACACAAATCTTCGGATGCCCACAGCAGTCCCACACTTGCACCTGTACGATCAGAACCTTCGCGTCCTCCAAAACAGCCCGCATCACCAGATGAACTATTGTTCTTCGAGAAGGTTAAGAAATATCTTAGTGCGAAAGCATTTCAAGAGTTTCTTAAAGTCATCAATCTCTACAGCCAGCGCATATTGGACACAAACCTTGTGGTCGACCGTGTGAGGGCTTTCTTGGGACAGAACCAGGATCTGTTTGAATGGTTCAAGCTTTTCGTCAAGTATGATGATAAGGATGAATTTGTGCAGAATACTGCATTCCCCCGACCACGTGTGGATTTGGAGGGTGCGCGTGCTGTGGGGCCTAGTTACAGACAGTTGCCCAAATCTGTAAGTACATTAATATTTATCACGTTTGCGTGTAGTATGCTGATAATCAATTAACTTCGGATACCCGTCAAATATATCAGGAATCACAATTACAATGTTCAGGACGCGATGAAATGTGTTGGGAGGTTTTGAATGATGAATGGGTCTCGCACCCAACATGGGCAAGTGAAGAAGCCGGGTTTGTGGCGCATAAGAAGAACCAATATGAAGAAGCATTGCATAAGTGCGAAGAAGAAAGGTTAGTTAAAATCTATTCCGGTGTGACGAGTATCAACTTTTCTGTAAATTTCTTACAATTATTATGACAAATAGATATGAGTATGATATGTTCATAGAGGCAAACCTTCATACCATAGCAATTCTTGAGCCAATATGCAAGAAAATTTCGAAAATGGCACAAGAAGAGAAATCCAGATACAAGCTTGAACCTGGCTTTGCTGGGAAATCCATGATATATCAACGCGTTATTAAGAAGGTTTATGATGGTGACAAGGCTGTTCTGGAACAACTACATAATAACCCTTCCGTGGCAGTTCCGGTCATACTTCGTCGGCTCAAACAAAAAGATGATGAATGGAAACGAGCACAGGTAAAAGGCCAACTTGACTATGAAGCGGAAAATGTTATTGTGCTTAAAAGCAGTTCGTATTCAACTCTAACAAATTTCAATCTTCGTCCTCTGATTGCGCCTACATAGCGTGATTGGAACAAAATATGGCGTGAGATTGACTCGAAGAATTATTACAAGTCTCTTGATCATCAAGGCATAACGTTCAAAACTGATGACAAACGTGCCCTTAATACAAAAGCACTTGTGGCTGAAATAGAGGCTTTACGCCGGGAACCTCGAGACGGTCCGGATGTAAACGAATATCAATTCAAATTCTATTTAAAAGATCAAACAACATTCAAAGACTGTGTACGCGTTCTATTCAGTTACCTTGATCGCTCAGGTTCTGTGACTCCAACTGATAGAGATCGTCTTGAGGCGTTCTTTAAGACATTTGTATCAAGCTTCTTTGATTTACCGTCAACATTGTTTGATGGACTCCAACGAGAGGACGTAGAAATGATGGTTGATAATGACGAAGTATCTGAATACAAACCTATGGACATCCTCTCTAATGAATCACTTTCTGCCGAGCATGTCGATGGAATGTGGATTCAGATGTCAAAAGAGTCAAAAGAGGATATCCGTGCTGTGGTTAACAAGGCAGGGCATGGAAAACCAGGCAGAAAGTCTACTGTGTTTTTCTGTAATTCAAATTTTTACTGCTTCTTCAGACTATTTCAGGTGAATAGATGTCTGGGTGTAATTTCAGATATTGTATTTGTCAAACTAACGCGTGTGTTGATTTTAGATTTTATACAGCCGTCTCGAGCATATGAAAGAAGGTGCCACCGATAGGGGACAGAATGTCAGCCCGCTTAGTAAGAGCCACAATGTTGCTGCTAGCGAGTTAGATGTTCTGAATCCTCGGCTTGACTGTAAGGATTCGCCGCAATTGTATTCGTTAATTTTTGTGTTCTGATCTAACTTGCGTCATTTCCAGCTGACCTTGATATGGATACGAATGGTGACCCGTATTCTGTGCTTCTGGACCTTATCGATCGACTTTTTGATAATGAATTAGAAAATACGGCCTTCGAAGATTATGCGCGATACATCTATGGAACAAAAGCATATCTTATGTTCACTATTGACCGTTTGGTCTTGAATTTGACGAGAGTGGTAATGACCTGACAGAAGTATAAAAGAATGTTATTTTTATGCTGTTAAATGTGCTAACGTTTCCGTCTTACAGCTTCAGGGCATCCTTGCCGATAGTAAGACAGCTACCTTGATAAGTTACTTCGAGAAAAATAGGCAGCCGAGTGACCAATCGAACGTTCGCCCAATAATAATGTATCAGCTGAATGCAAATTCAGCAATCGGATATGACGAACATACATTCCGCCTAGATTTTGTAAGTTCGTAATATTATTCGTTATATATTCGTGCAAATATTTTACTGATGGGTTATTCAATGACTAGGATAAAGAAGAGAAATCTTTGTCAATACTGCTAACTGGCAGAGATCATTATACGCGAGATGCAGTAACGTCGGAAGAGAAGTGGGCCTATTATATGTACAGCTACATGTCCTTAAATCCAACAGAGGGCGTCTCAACGAAAGTAGATCGCCCATTTCTCAAGAGGTATTGACATTATACACTTTGCTGACTTCCCAGCCAGTTGTACATTATTAACTTTATCTTCTGTTTCAGGAATTTACCGGCGATCGAGCATAAGGATCCGGTATTGACTAATGTATCCTCAAAAAATGGGCTCGAGATTAAGATATGCATCAATTCGTATCATGTCTTTTTTGTCAATGATACAGAAGACGGTTTTCAGCGTTTGGTGCCTGCATTCCCAATGTCGAAGATACGCGAGGATTTTGCTAAACGGAAAGATAAGTTTGATCAATACTTCAGAGTAGAGTGTGACCGGTTAGGTGTAATCAACTATTAAATTATATATAAACACATACATCTTGCAACAAAAACTTGTAATTCGCTACATATCTTAATAAAAATTGTTACGAGTGGAACCCTTGGCTGCAAATGTCAAATTTAACCCTAACCCTTACATAATTATAATGAGTGTTGTTTATGATAATAGACTTTTCGGCTCTCTAAATGTCTAGTGGGAACCAAATACTGTTTGACCATGGTCTATTACTATGTTGAGTGAAGAGTCGATCCACCAATATAAAGTACAGGTGTATCACGATACTATTCTGTTACTTTAACCACAGACCAAAGTGATGTGTAGGTTTAGAGTTTAGAAGAAAGTATGCTTTAAGTAATTGGAGATACTAATACTCCAAGAATCTACTAGAATAGCATATGATGCAAAAGGGATTTTACTGTTAAAGCTGCAAAAAGTTTACATCATAATAAGTGCTCAAGAGGGCTTTTCATGTTTACTATAAGAAATAACCCTTGCCCATAAAGAATTTTTTCTTATTCCAAGAAAGATAATAGTCATACAATAAAATGGTAGTTCTCATTATTGAATAAATGTAGTGCCAGATTACCTTTTATTTGTGTTAATAAAAGCTTATTTATTCCTTGTGTGTCGCAATGAATGCTAAACGAGTTCACAAAGTATACTCTTCATTGCACCACGTTCTTCTAAAGGATCCTGATCTTCAGAATGGAAAGCCCAAATTATCCATCTTCAGGGATGGACAGATAATCATTAGTTACTTTTACCGATTAAGCTAGAGTAAATGAAAAAGTTAATTATAATCTTACCAAATTTGTCGCTAAACATAGTCGGGTGCCATAGTAGATAATGATATGTATAAAAATATTTATTTTACAGATTGACTTAACAACTTGTTCGTTGTTGGTGGATATGGTAAAATTACTAGCAAATAATCTATTTGCTTCTTACGCGCAGACAATTTTATGCCACGTAAATACGTAGTTGGTAATAAATTGTGACAGATTAACGAATGAAAATACAACTTTGATGTCTCTGTTACATTGGCTTTTTTTTTCTTCTTGAACCAGTTGTTGTATACGCAGTAACAAGTATTAAGACATTTCTTATGCCCAAATCCTTTTACTCGTTGACATAATACACAGTTTTGTTTCAATCCGATCTCGTTTTAATTTGTCATAGTAATTAATTTTTATATCAATTCTGCGCGTATAGATACATTTTCGGGTCGCTTGCTAATGCAGAGCAAATAATAATTTAAGTTTTTGTAATATATATGAAAGAAGTAAAAATTGAAAGCCGTTATTATCATATTCGACGACAGGTATGCATTGCATAATTATGAATTATGGACGTCAAATGCCATCATAAAACTTAAGCGGGCCAGAAAAGTCGGGGGGAAAACTTTCGGGCATGCGTGGCGATAAACCATGATTTTGTAATAAATTTGCGTATACAGACTGATACATCATATGATTAAGTAAACTGACCATCTTACTAAAATTTTGTAGTTGAAAAAGAGTGCATTAAGTTTGGAGAATTCAGCCTATATTGCATGTTCTTGCTTATTTACGTGTTGTCATGGACATTTTGCAAATAAACAAGACATTGTCAGAATGCAATAAACAAAAAATTATACTCTGAAATAAGACAGGGTTGCAATGTTGTTATTCAATTTTGCGTTATTTGCGGTAAATCTGGAGCTTTACATTCTTTTTCTATTGTGTATGCTACATATTATCATCTATGACAATTCAGACGCGGTCGTAGTAAAACTTTACAGAGGAACCCAAGAATATTTGCAATAGCACTGACAAAATTATATCAATTGTCTAAACGCGCCATCGGAGTATTCGAGGAATAGCGCATGACAAGTCAACTTTACGAGGTGGCAACCCTCCGTCGTCAAATCCTACAAATTACAGTTAGTGGCCTTTAGCTAGGCTTTAACACCCACAATTTCTTATGATTGATTTGTAATATAACCTTGGAATGCTCATTAAACTGCATTATCAGCCTCCACTTCTATCGATGGGCAAGAGATCGATTATTCTTACTAATAGAGAGGTTAACGGTTTCCTGCTCTACCAGAGTTCATTGGTTTAGTAAAACCAAAAACTACAGAATTTTGAACGGATGATTTTCGCAAAAATCGATCGTGTGTTCCATTATCGGCCAGAACACTTACTATTACCTACCTAGTATACTATTACCTACCAGTATGAATCATCGTCCTTTATATACCGATCACCTGAAATGCGTACCAAGCATAAGCTTTATTGCTATTACCGGATTCGTCTTCCGCTATGCGAACCGAACCCACAAACTAGTAATATAATTAGGGATGTGATTATTTGAGTCGTATGATAGATAAATCTGCCTCTTTCAACGTTATCTACACGCGTTCAAAACATTTAGTCTTTTCTCAATAAGGATTTTCTCGTTCATAAAACCGTTCCAAAAGATACTTCAAGTACAAACTACCAATTGTACACCATCACTGTTTTCGCCATTTTCGCCGCGCTTGTTTTCTTATACGCATCGCTAGTTATTCATCTTGATAATTTAATCCGTAACCAGTAATCTTTTTTTTTTATTATTGCGCAATTTAAATAATATTAGTAATAATAAAAAATAATAATAGAATCAATTAAACCTTTGTTATAATAATAACAATCCGTTATTGTTGCGCATTCTAGTCAATTATTATTATGAATTTTTCTTACCTCTTTGTAGTCATATGACCAATCTTATTTTAAAAATAGAAGTTCATCTATCTTGTTGGGCATGTGAATCAGGGACATCATTGTTATTTACTGATCAATGACCACTTCAAACCACTACTCACCTTATCACTAATTAGTATGTTGAGTCAATTATGTTGGATGACTTTATTTCCAACATTCTAGCACTGATACAAACAAACCTTACCTTAACAGCTATAAAAAAATGGGATAACTCTGCAGTTGCTACACAAATATCTGCAACTGCCACACAAGAAGAGCTCTTTAGGTCTACGAAATGCTTTTTGGACAAGAGGTGAGAATTCATTGTATTTGAAACACGCTGCCACTATTAGTAGGTGTAAAGCGAAGAATCGAAAGCAAATCGTGTGACAGTTATGCTGCCACCAGTGTAAATCAGTGTAAATAAGTCGAACTCCGTTAACGAAATCTATCACGGTGAACAGAAAGCATTTCATGATCATAGCTTGGAAAATTACCGGTCAATAAAAACCCTGTAGTTGTATTTTAATAACAAAACCAAAAGTGTAAACAAATAAAACAAATGACACAAGTAACAAACCGAGTTTTCTTGTCGGCATTACATCATAAGAATAAAACGTACTAGTTGACTGTTTTGATTAGACGCGTATTTTGGAAGGAAGTGAAGTTTATGCAAAAACTTTTTCGCGCACTGTATCTTCGGAGCCTTTATGGTCGGCGTAATCATTCCTCACTCGGACGGATTTGCCTTGGGTATTGCCGAGAGAGTGCTTCATCAATGCAAACATATGAGATTGCATGTTTCATGTGCATAGGCTCCATATGAGATTGCATGTTTTATGCGTCGTCTATGGATAATCTTCTTTCTATAAAGGACAAGCTGGCTGCCTCTAGTTCAAAACTTAAGAAGAAACAGGCCTTGCGAAATCTTCGGATGCGACGAAAAATCAAACACCTGCAAAGCGAAGTTCATAAAAAGAGTGTCGCACTTTTTACTCGCGAATTTGATGCCATTATCATCCCTCCTTTTGAGGTGTCGAGCATAGTAAATCGAAAACAAGAAGGATAACACGAAAAACTGTTCGCAAAATGCTCTGTTGGGGCCACCATCAATCTCGCCAACGTCTGGTGGCTAAAGCAGAAGAATTGGGGGTCCGTGTTATTATCAAAAATGAGGCCTATACTTCAAAAACGTGCAGCCGGTGTGGGAGCATTCAAAAAATAGGAGGGTCCGACATGTACAAATGCCGAAATTGTGGATCGAGATGAAAATGGCACTCGGTGAATCTTCCCCCGGGCATTGCTTGATGAAGCCTTGATTCTCTCCGGAGATCATGCAGGAAATAGTAGTAATGCCTACTATTGATATGTTACAATCCATCCGGCAATAGAAAACACATGACTTGTTATCACCATATTATTTACACACTGAATCTCGAACCTAATCTAGGCTGATAGATGCAATTTGTATGACGTGAAAATGTCAATTCTATTTAAATATTTACAGTAATATTTTATTACAATACATTTGTAACTATCACCGTTACCACTTACTATTACAGAGCCAAAGGCAATATACAAATTTGATCTAAAGCGGCCCAATAAGAAACGGGGAGATCATATTATAGCACAAGATAAGTCGTCATGCTCTTCTCAACATTCGAAAAGATCGTACAACTGGTGACATTATCTACATAACAATGACATAATAACATTGTTAGCATCGATACTTGTGTCCAAGAAATACGTGAGCGATCATGTTGATGACTTGTATTTCATTTTCAAAAACCCAAACATGTCTGCTTCCCAAACACATTACCTTCCCAAACACATTACCTTCCCAAACACATTACCTTCCCAATTTTCCTTCCCAATCTCCTTCTACTCTTCTCACACTTTCTTCTAGCCTCCTCACACATTTGACAATCGTTCTGTTCCCAACATAAGAGACACGTACTCCTGGCACTCTTTATACAAATCCTGCATTGTACGTCTCCCTCTCCGATGTTGGCTACACAACCTCCGTCAATACAAAAAGGCTTCGCACATATTTGACAATATTGATAATTGACATGATAATCATACACATGCTTGCTACATACATGGCAGAATTTATAGCATATATTACATTCCGTCCACCGATTGCATTCATGGATAACGATCCCAACGCGCGGCGAAGATAATTCGCAATATGGTTGAAGATGTGGGCTGTCATCTTCAGATGTATTGACAGCAGCAGCAGAGTCCCGTGGCTTGAGCTGAGATAGTTTACGCTCCAACGCCGCTATTGTTGAGCGCTGGAAAGGAACCGATATGTCCTTTGAGTATTGATGCACGCCAACACAATACGTTATCTCTATGGACTGTAACTTCCATTGTCGTTTATTTATTACTGATGCATTGCGCAGTTGCCCAATGCTATCCAATAGATTCACAAAATAGTCTATGCTAAATGTCGAATGGTTACTAATAGATAACTTCTCCAGGTTCGGACAGGCGGTGAGGAAGTTGACTGCTAAAGCTGGCGTTATTGTACCTTCTCCCGTTATTACTAAACTTTTGATGTATGGTAATGCGTTATTCTTGCGCCAAAGTGCGAACTGCGTAAGAGTGCTAGAGAGTTGAAGTGACTTCGGAAGTATTAGAGTGTGATAACGAATCCTATTAGGGGTCTGAACGTATAAAAGGTGACATGTCATACGTAAGCTGTTTATGGAGGATAGGTCAAGGTAGGTAAAAAGGAGAAGAAGAAGTTCGACTGGAAGATGAGTTATATGACCCATTTTGTTGAGGGTTCGGAATGTAGGTGATGTGCGTGTGGGTAGATATTTATATTAATATCTATTTTGTACCACGTTATATCACATAATCAAGAAAACCGACTACTCACGCAAAGAGATCGCAATATGAAAACAATGGGGGTGGTTTGATTGTGTTTGTATTCCCAAACAAACAGCATTAAGCTGCATTCATTGTACCTGCATCTCGAAAAAAAAAAAATAGACGTACAATGCTTCATTTAGGCATGTGGGAAAAAAGTTGCAATCAGTCCTTGGAGTTGTAAGGCACTCAAATAAATGACACATGCTTGTCAAGCCATCTTTTTCTTATTAATCAGAACTCATATGCATCAACCACCCGGAAACTTTAAATTTACATGGTCCAGTATAGTAAGGACAATTATGGCTTTGCAGCTAGATGGTCAGAGTATCAAGCAATAAACAATTAGATTGAATGCCTATTTGGAGTCGCCATCTCGCATGTTCTACCAATATGGTATGAAAGGATCAATGCCTTTTTCAAGCAATGAAGTTTGTTGGATCAAGCTGGCAGTCTTT